CAGGGCAAGGCTGATTCACCCATGAATCAGGCGCAGAGCCAGGCAAGCCTCCTTGCTGCTCTTCCCTTCCTGGTGTTGCCCCGTCTGGTCAAAGACCCCACTTACTTCCTTAGTCAGTCCATCCTGGGACCCCACCTTATTAAAGCCCCCAGCATAGCTTAGAAAGGGCGGAGAGAGCCCACAAACACCAGCTCTCGGGTTTCTCCGTTTGCTGGCCATGGCGATGGCACCGGCGTTTGACCCTCCCTGAGAAGCGTGGGTGCTGTCCCCAGGTTAAAGGTGGGGCTGCTGAGGTCCAGAGAGGCCCAGGGACTGGGCCGAGCTCAGGCAGGAGGGTCAGCGCTGTGTCTCCTGAAAGCCCCGTCGACACCGGCAGCGTGGGTGTGACCAGGTCCCCCGTGCAGATGAGGACACAGAAGAGGCAGGAGCGGACAGAGAGGGGAGATGCCCTCCTGCTCCCAGCTGGCTGGAAGGAAGGGCTGCTGCTGCTTTCTGGAGGGAGGCTGCCTGGCCGGGAGCGGGCCCCTCCGCTGACCCCGTACCTTGTAGCCGCCCCCGAGGCCGCCGTGGCTCCTGCCGGCCGCAGCCTGCTCCGGTGCACTGTGCTGCTCTGCCATCTCCGCGGGAACCCCTGTGGCGTCGGTCAAAGCGAATGGTCACCAGGTGCGCCCGGAGGGGAAACCCAGGTGCCTGGAGTCGAGGACAAGCTCCAGAATCTGGCTGCCTCTGAGATGTGGTCGGTGCTCACAACCAACACTCAGTCATTCAGCAAACATCCACCGAGCATCTACTGTGGCCCACAGGGCCTGGGACAGTCAGGGGAGGCGGATACCCACTTTACAAGCGGAAATCCCTAGGCCCAGGGAGGCAAGGCTGGGATGGGGCTCCAAAGCCCGTGCCCTTCCCCTCCCCGGAGCTTTGGGGTGACACGACACCTGCAGACTCTCCTCAGAGGGTGGGCCTCAGGGAGCCTCCTCTCCTAGGATCACTCCCACCTCCGCCCCCCCAGGCAGTAGGCTTCCGTTCAATTCCTTCATTTGCCAAAGTTTCCAAGAGAACCGAGTTGGTCCCTTGCCCTGGGCTGGTGACTGAGAGGAACAGAAGACCACGGACTAGTGGGAAATAGGCGGACGGACATCTAGAGAAAGCAAGATGCTGGGGAGCAGGCCCTGGGACACCCACTCAGCTGGTTCTCATTCCGCATGCGTTTACAGAGCACTCACCGTATAGCAGCCACTTAAAAAAGAGACACGGGTGCAAACAGACAGACAGACGGCAGCCCCGCATCCCTAGGGACGGGGCCACACCCCGCCGGGCCTGAATTCTCACGTGGAAGGGCCTGCCTGAAGCCAAACACCCGGACACACAGGCCTGTTCTGTTTATAAACACACCCATGAACGCGCACACACACAGGCTCCCATGATTACTGTACATGGCCACTTTCCACCTGCTGCACAAAAACAGCCCCCCGCTTCTCTCTCGGGGACACACACATGCCCATTTCAGATGCCCCCCGCCAAGGTCCGGAAGGCACCACAGCCACGCCCCACATTGCTGGGAGCGGATGGGCTGCGTGGCCCTCATACTCAGGACACAGGCCCAGAGATGCTGTCTGCCTGCCGGTGTCCAGCCTCGTCAAAAAGTGGGGCCTGGAAATGGGGCCAGGTCAGGGGGGGACTCTCAGCAGAGGCGCCGGCCCCCGCTTTGCCCACTCCTCTTCCTCAGCAGTGCTCAGTCTCTGTAGGCCCCCTGTCCTAAGCTCACACCGCAGGGCTTGACCCTGCGCACCCCGTCAGACACTGGCTGGCTCGGGGGCTCCGGCCCTCACGTGGATCCCCGGCTGCTGCGGGGGGCCAGCTGTGCACGCCCCCTCTCCCGGAGACCACCCAGGTCTGGGGCGGCCTCCCCGTCCCCGCGCCCCTGGAGTGCACCTGTTGCAGTCGCCGTGAGGAGAGAGGGGGCCGGCGCCGTCTGCAGACTCAGTCCGCTGCCGCCGGGACTGCCCTATTTATGGGCGCTTTCTGACAGCCCAGCACAACCCGGCTTGCTGAGGCAGTGCCCTGTCCACCCAATTCCGTGCGCGCCACTTCACCTCAATAGCAGGCCCGGGGAGGCCCCCGCGCCTCTGTCCTCAGCCGTGGTCTCTGATGACTTCCTGGGGGCAGGTGGGCCGTGTCAGCTTCCCGGGGAGCCCCACAGCACCAAGCTCTCACTGACAGGACACAGGCCCAGAGATGCTGTCTGCCTGCCGGTGTCCAGCCTCGTCAAAAAGTGGGGCCTGGAAATGAGGCCAGGTCAGGGGAGACTCTCAGCAGAGGCGCCGGCCCCCGCTTTGCCCACTCCTCTTCCTCAGCAGTGCTCAGTCTCTGTAGGCCCCCTGTCCTAAGCTCACACCCCCGGGCTTGACCCTGCACACCCCGTCAGACACCGGCTGGCTCGGGGGCTCCGGCCCTCGCGTGGATCCCCGGCTGCTGCGGGGGGCCAGCTGTGCACGCCCCCTCCCCCGGAGACCACCCAGGTCTGGGGCGGCCTCCCCGTCCCCGCGCCCCTGGAGTGCACCTGTTGCAGTCGCCGTGAGGAGAGAGGGGGCCGGCGCCGTCTGCAGACTCAGTCCGCTGCCGCCGGGACTGCCCTATTTATGGGCGCTTTCTGACAGCCCAGCACAACCCGGCTTGCTGAGGCAGCGCCCTGTCCACCCAATTCCGTGCGCGCCACTTCACCTCAATAGCAGGCCCGGGGAGGCCCCCACGCCTCTGTCCTCAGCCGTGGTCTCTGATGACTTCCTGGGGGCAGGTGGGCCGTGTCAGCTTCCCGGGGAGCCCCACAGCACCAAGCTCTCACTGCCCCCAACTTTCCTGCTCTGGCTTCTTAGCGCCAGCATCTTCTTTTTGGGATGCGCGACACCCTCGGAATGGCTCCAGTTCTTAAAAGCGCCAGGCCCTAGAATTCCTCAATTTTCCCATGTGCCACGGGGCCTAAAATTTAAGTCCGATCACCCTGAACATCCCTTCCAAGGTGGGTGTAAATCCGTCCACACATTTCCACTAGACACAGTAACAGACCCAGCAAAGATTCCTTTTCTTCATACTGAAGGCATCTACGGACGACAGTAACCATTTATGGGAGAATTACTACGTGCGTGGTGCTGGGCCAGCTTCATGAGCAGTGTGTTCAGTCCTCATGCAGCTCCCTTGAGGGGAGAAATTGTGATCACCACTTTTTAAAGGGGGAGACAGTTCAGAGAGGTGAAGTCACTTACCCAGGGTCACACAGCAGACAGGAGGTGGAGGGGCCGGCCTCCTCCAGGGCCCAGCTCTCAGCCTCAGCAGAGATAAAGATGATCACGACAGTCACTTCATTTATAACCAAAAAATTAGATCTATGCATTTTGTGTGCGTGTCTAACAAAGTATAATTTCGCCTGTGACAGCTACAGAATTTCCTGTTTTCAAAAGTTCGCCTCAAGCCACTTTGCTTTTATGAAAGACCTACATTAGTACCTGTTTTCTCTAACAGAAAAAATTCTAGAGGACTTTTGCTTTTATGAAAAAGGGCGAAAAACAACAGTTGCATTCAGCCTTTATTTTATCACCAGCCATTATAGAAGCAGTGAGCCCCAAGCAGCGACTGGCGCCACCAAGTGTCTCCCGTGGGAATTACACTCAGCATCACAGCGTCAGGCGCCACTGCTTTGAATGGTGTGAGTGTCTGCTCACCTTTTGTGCATCTGTGAGCAAGCTGTGTCCACAGGTCACCGCTTCTTCAATACACGCCCCTGCAGCTTAACAAAGATTTCAGAGGTGCGCTGTCCTCCCAGAAGAGAGGAACTTGTATTCAGAGGTTCCTGAAGCAATAAAATAAATGACGGGGCGAAGGGGTGAATTGTTAAGCGGAGGGTTTTCTCTAGCTGTTGCTCGTTTTTGGCTAAAACCCTCAAGTCAGCGCAAACCCCAGCATCCCCGGAGAGGTGGGTGACAGCGGGGCNGGGTGAATTGTTAAGCGGAGGGTTTTCTCTAGCTGTTGCTCGTTTTTGGCTAAAACCCTCAAGTCAGCGCAAACCCCAGCATCCCCGGAGAGGTGGGTGACAGCGGGGCTCTGGAACCCGGTGGATCTGTGTGACCTTAGGGGAGTGAATGAAGGTCACAGCCACAGTCTCCTCATCTGCCAGGGGAGAAGCTTCTGTCTCCTCAAGCCACGGGAGAGATCACGAGAGCAAAGCAGGGCGGCCTTTCTTAATCACTGAGGACCCTGCCCACTGCTGACAGCTCAGACCGAGGGGCTGCTTCCTTCCGGGGCTCGTGGAGAGCAGAGTTGGTCTCAGCCCCTTAACCTGAGATGCAGCCGGCACCTGCCGGGGACATCAGGGGGTGACAGAGGTGGGGATGGCCCAGCAGGCCTGGTTCCCCCCTGACCACCGCCCCCATCAGCTCCTTTAGGGTCCTGAAGACCCATGTGCCCAGATCTCGCGCGCCACCCGTCTTTAACCTAGAGTTCCCGGTCTTGGTGCTGTTGTCAGGCGGGGCTGGGATTATTCCTTGTGACGGGGAGGAGGGCTGTCGTGGGCAGTGGGGGGTGTTGCTCAGCATCCCTGGCCTCCACTCGCTACATGCCAGGAGCACGCCCCTTCCCTCCTTGAGATAATTTAAAAGACACCGCCTGTCATTTTGCCAGATGTCGCGCAGACGGGCAGAGTCCACCCGGGGCCACTGCCTTTAACTTCTGCCGGCTCACATCACTCGCATCGCCTCTATTCTGGAGGAGCGTGGGGGTCCAGAGATACCCCACAGCCAGGAGGAAGCGGAGTTGGGGACTCAAGCCCACGCTGAGTGGAGATCGGGCTCTGCCTCCGTCGGGGCCCCTTTCCCAGGACCCCTGCTGCGCCCTCCCACAGGCGGGCCCCCCAGACTGGCCCCCCTCAGCGCAGTGGAGGGACTGACTCAGCGGGAGACAGGCATGCATGCGTGGGGGAGTCCATTCATTCACACACCGACACGCTGAGGTCTCCAGGGCAGCTCGCGTCAAAGCTTTATTTGCTGTTTCCAGAGTCTGAATGTGACATCTTTGTACATGCAAAAGGTCATTGTGTTTTAGGGCAGTCGACCAGACTCCCAACTGCTCTGCTGTGCGTATGAAATCTCTTTACAGTTACAAAATAGAAAAGCACTTGTAGACATCCGATACTCTGAGAGGTCCGGGAAGCCCCGTTGGTTTTGACGTTAAAAATATAGTTTTTTGTTTTTTTTTTTCTGGATGAATTCTCAGTCACATGATTAGAGGTCCTTTCTGGGGTTGAATAAAGTGCCGGTCGACCGCCTTCCATTCAAAGCCCCTGGAGTCCGTGAATTCGTAAGGCAACTGCGAGGACATCAGTTGGCAGGACGCTTCAACTCTCCTGCACACAGGACTCGAGTTCCTCTTCGATCGTGACTCAAATATTGGAGGAAGGGACCCAGGAGGAAGGTCAGGAAAATACAATGGTGTAGGTATATATATATACATCTCCACTGCCCCCCATCTTACAGAGCATTCTAAGGATCGAAGTCATCGGGGAAGTCTAGGACTTGGAGGATACTGACATGACTTAAGAAACAACGCAGTACAAAATATTTCCCGTAACACAATAGATGACTTTTACAAGCCCCGTATTTACAGGATCTATAAGGCTGTGTGGAACGAGATCACTCTTTCACACAACTGGCATTATACATATATTTTTTTCTTAGGCAGGCACGACACCACCAGAGATGATTAAGAAAGTGCCAGGCTGATTCATGAGATGGTGTGGTGCCAGGTGTGAGGGTGACAAATAAGGGGATTTGGGGAGGATGATGGGGAGTGGCTGAGGGGTGACCTTGCCAGAGATCTCAGGCTGACTTTCCAAGAACCTGGCTTTCTTGTGCCCCCCCCACCCNCCCCCCCACCCCCCCGCTGCAAAAGCCAATCCAGACAAAGAAAGAGATCTCTAGAGGGGTGATGGGGGGCAGGGGGCGGAGAGCAAAGGAGACACAGACTGGCCAACACCCAGCACGTTCGTGCCTACCGGCTTTCTACATGGTTCTCCGTTTCCAGACCCTTGCCTTGCCCAGAATCCCAACACGGTGGCACCTGGCAGCTCTCAGCACGGGACTCAGATCCAGCAGTCCCCTAAGGGGGCGGAGCCCGGGATGGACCCCCATCCAGATGCGGGGTGGGTCCCTCCTACCTGATGGAATCAAGACGCCATGGGGCTTTTTTTTTTCCTTTCTCTTTCCTGTTTCAACACAGGTCGAAAGAGGAAAGACACAGTCCAACTAGTAACGCCACGGCTGAAATAGGAGGGAGGGGCAATTCCCAGCAGAAAGAGCCTTCCTCCCCCTTCCCCATGGACTTCACCCTGCAATGCTAGTTCACACAAAGGCCACCGTCGTCCAGCTTCCTGCATTAAGGGGCAGGGCGGTGTGGGAAGGACCACAGGGATGGGGGAGGAGGAGGAGGAAGGCTGCCTGGAGAGCCCTCTCCTTGGGCGGGACACTGTCTTCCACACAGGACCTGAGTCACCTGGACACCAGCGTTTCACTTTGGAGAAGATCTGACCACACATCTGTAGGGTGTTAGCACTGCAATCACGCCTGGCTCCTGGGCTGTCTGGGGGCATTGCGAAGCGAGACATAAATGGACAAGGCAGCTAGCAGCACCGGGCGGGAGCAGCTGAGCTCTCCTTCGGGAAACCATGCCTCAGGGTTTTCCAAATCACCTGCACAGCCTCTGAGGCTGAGGGCCTCGGGCCCACATCTATTCCAGTACCCAGAGCTAGCCTCACTTCTTCCCGGGAAGCAGAGAAGAAAGCACTGGAAGCCTGCGGCTTGGCTGGTCCCCTGCAAAACCTCCCCATCCGACTGTCCTCTCCCCGAATCCCAGGCAACTGGAGGTTGTCAGGGTCGCATCACTCAAAGCCCCCGACATCCTAAACACTGGGGGGCGGGGAGGGCGGGTGCATCTCTCCCACCAGAGTTTCTCAGGTGGCGCTGAGAGATTTTCCACAACACTGACTCCCGAGGCCTCGCCGTGGAATTTTACACGTCAAAGGCATCTGTTACCTTAGCAAGAGACCATGAAGAGGGGGATCGACTGGAGGGGAAAGTGATATGGACTCATCAAAAGAGCAGCTGTCAAAATGCTGATGTGCAAAGCGGGTGGGGAGAGGGAAGAGAGGAGGGAGAGAGGGAGAGAGAGAGAAAAAGAGAGAGAGAGATTATACTTTAAAAAATCACCTACCTAGCTATCTTATTTTGGATGCATTCTGTATAAAACTGTCATTTAAAGAACACCAAAAGCCCAGGCGAGGAGGGCTGGATGAGGGCGGGTGACTTGACTGCCGACGAATGCTTAAGGCATCATTCAGTCCGTTGAAAAGGAGACAGGTTTCCAAAGGCGGCTCCAGGAGAACTCAAGAAACCAGCGTACATACAATCCCCTGCGTGGACCCCAAGGGCTCACCCCGCTTGGAAGGAGGAGATGTAAAAGAACCCACTGGCCTAGCTGGCTGTCTGCAGAGGCTTCCAGCAGAGCTGCGGGTACGGGAGACGGCATTGTACGGACCGCGGCGGGGCCGGAGGTCCCGGGAGCCTGCGTTGAGCTGTGGCTCCGGACCCACCGAGACTGTTTGCTCTGCGGGGGAGGGATGAGGCTGCTGCGGTCAGTTTCAAGGGGTGGACTTTGCCCATCCTCGTCACCAAGGAATTAAACAGATTTTTATTTTCAGTCCGGGAGTGGGAGGTTAGGGAGACGCTCTGCAGGTTGACCTGGTTTTTGAGGGTTTCTTCCTTTCCTCTAGGGTAAACTGGGGCTGAAACATGACTGACGGAGAACTGAGCCTGGCGGGTCCTGACTGAACACAGCAGGTCACTCGTGCTGCCTGAGACAGAACCAAGGGGCCTCCGCGCCTTGAGAAGGACACGGGAAGACCCCCGCCGGGGAGAGGGGTCAGGGTCAAGGCAGGGACCTGCTGACCTGGAAAGTCACTGCATCACAACGAATAAAAGGTGAACTGCATCTTAAAAAGAAGAAGACGGAAAAATCAACTGACACGGATCCTGAAAGGATTAAATCCCCGAATGGCCGGAGAGAACGGACTGACTGCAAACTCAGGGGATGAAGAGATGGCAAACTGCGGTCAAGCAGGACCAACCCTCCGGACACAGCAGCACACGGCTGCCGGCGACAGGCTCCAACCACGGCCCGTCCAGGGGCCGGAGCGCAACCCACAGGACTTGCGGGGGAGGGCCCCCCACTCCGCCTCAGTCACTGTCCACTGTCTGAGCCACAACCCCTCTCTGGCCCAGGTGTTGGTCTTAACCCAGAGCAACAGGATTGGTCTCCATCCTCCAAGAAAGGGGAGAGGTGGTGAAGGGAGACGAGAGAGGAAGGAGAGACGGGGCGACGACAGAGACTGAAGGAGGGAGCGGGTGGCCAGGGAGAAGGGAGGTGTGATCTGACAACATCTGCGAAGAATGGATTTCTCAAAGAGAGACTTAGCAAGCTCAGCCCCCACGCCCCGTAGCAGTCCTGGGCGGCTCTATGACCTGCCCAAGCATCCTTCTCTCAGGTGGGCGGCTCCCAGGCAAGGTTGGCACCAAGTTTATGGCGACTCCAGCCGTGGCGGGTGGGCCGGCCATCTCTGGGATGTATGCTGGAGCCTTGGGCCTAAGAGGTGGAGGAGGCTGGTGTGGAGAAATTTTCAAAAAAAAAAAAAGGACACAGTAGACAGTGACTGGAGATCCCAGAGGTCTTGGAGGTTTCTGGGAATGAGCTTAGAGTTGGCAAGCAAAAAGAGGCCAGCCAAGGCTGTACTTGGTTACCTAGCATCCGCCAGGTCTGTCTGGAGTCCCTGGACTGGGGGTTAGGGGGAGTGGAAGGACTCCCCTCCAGAGATGGGCTTTCAGAAAGACTCTCCCCTCCTGCATTTGGACCTAGAAAAAGCACCTGGTCAGCTAGAACTGGGGGGCTGGGGTGGAAGGGTGGGTCCAAAGGAGCGGTGAGAACAAAGCAAAAGGACCCCTCATTCACCGTGTGCCCTGAGGCCAATGGGGAACGCGTCTTTCCACGCCAGTGGCGCAGGTCGTGTTCAGAAAAGGACTCTGCAGAAGAAGACTCCAGGGGCGGGTCTGATGTCTGGGAGGGGAAGGCACTGCCGTTTGGGCTGCCGGTTTTGGAAGCCTCGAGAGCGAAGGTCACCCCACAGAAGTTCGGAGCTCTCACGAGAAGGAACCAGGAAAATGCACACGAGGGTGGCGATGGCAGTTTAAAACGCTTGGGGGCGGGGAGAAGATAACCTGAGATGATCGGACACTTCAAGCAGACCACGCGCACGCCTCTCCTCCTGTTCTGTAGTGTGAAAACATACGTAGGTACTGAATTTCAGAGAGAGTTGGTGAGATTATTGCTTTATCGCCTTCTGAAGCAAACAGATGTGAGGAACAAGGCAACAGGCCGGCCCTGCACACAGCCCCACTGGGAGGATAAACACACTTGAAGGAACCATGGCAAGGGTGTCTCAAGATCGGAACTGCTGATTTCTTTGAAAGGGAGAAGGAATTCGCCAAAGGAGCAATCGGGACCCGTCCACCCCCCCACCACCCCCACCCGCAATCCGGTGGTACTGCCTGGACCGCTGGTTACGGCAGGAAACGAATGCGTTCATCTTCCTTGGAAATGTCCTTTTGAAAAAGACCGGCCCTGGGGTGAGGGGCGAAAGAAGCGCTTTCATGATTCAGAACCCAGGGGAGACAGTCCAGCCTTTATATCCATGTTCCTGGAGCTTCACAGGGGTCTAAAAATGCGTAGAAACGCATATTTTTACGTTTAAAAAAAAAATCCCCAAAAAACAAAACCACCAGCATGGACATTTCTGGACCGCTTGTTCTCTTCCCCAGCCTGAAGAGCTGTCTGTGGAGACGGTGCACAGGCTTGTAAAGGGTGAGCCTTCCTCCCTGATCCATCGGGGGAGCCTGCGGGGGGCTGACACTGGGACGCCTTCTCCACCTGACAGACCGACTGACCGACCGACCGACCGACCGACCGACCGACCGACCGACCGACCGACCAGAGGGACCCAGGCATGTGCAGGAAGCGACGGCAGCGGCGGGACCTCATCTTCGGGTTCGGACAGTTAAGGCTTGTTTGTTAGACGTGACGGTGTCCCCTGTCTGGAGAGAACAGGTGTCAGCAAGGGGGGCGTGAGACCCCACTTCTCCCCAGCATCAAGCCCACAAAGCTTTCCTGGTGCTCCCCAAGACGCCACCCCAACAAGCCACGGGCCAGGAAGGATGTTTTCTTTCTTTTGAGGAGTGGGATGAAGAAGGTGGCGGGCAGCGGATATGATGGAATGAGCCTGCAATTTAGGGTCAGGTCAGGGGACCAGCTTCATTGCCCTCAAATGGATTGCTGGAGGCCTGACTGAGACATCATGGGTACAGCACTCAACGCTGAACAGACACAGGCTCGGATCCCCTCTCCAAAACCCTAGAGCACAGTTTTATAGGAGAATTCAGAGATACTTTTGGAGTTTATTATATGTGTGTGTGTGTGTGTGTGTGTGTGTGTGTGTGTTCAGTGGCTTCACTCGTATCCGACTCTCTCGTGACCCCATGGACTGTAGCCCGCCAGGCTCCTCTGTCCATGGGATTCTCCAGGCAAGAACACTGGAGTGGGTTGCCGTGCCCTCCCTCCAGGGGATCTTCCAGACCCAGGGATCGAATCTGCATCTCCTAAATGCCCTGCATTGGCAGGCAGGTTCTTTACCACTGGCACCGCCTGGGAAGCCTCGTGCAGACTATACAGGAATGTAGAAATTGGGGGCAGTTGTGGGCAAAGATCAAAGCTGATCTTTGATGTCATTTTACAAAGTGGGGCTGAGATTCAGCAAGGAGGCCTGGCCGAGGGCATGAGACCAGAGTCCTGCCCGTCCCTCCCACCCCAGGCTGCCCAGGGGAGTGGTTTTCCCTAAGCGGCAGCAGACCACTGCCCTCATCTTTCCAGGAACCCAGGACACCCGCACCCATGTCTTCCCTTCTCCTTCCAAGGTACAGCACTTCAAGTCTCCGAGCCTTTGCTTCCCGGCCCAAGTCCCCTGCTCCTCGGGTTGCAGGCTCTGCCCGAGTACCCACTCCGGGGCCACCCCCATACCTGCTCAAGCTTGATTCTCATACAGGCTTTGTCTCTTCTTCGATTTCAGCTCCTTCAGCCACTGGGGAGAGGGCTCTTCCGATCTGAAACCACAAATCCAGTGGGAGTCAGGTGCCAGCCTGAGTGAGGGCTAGGCCTGCGGGCAGGGCAAGTCTCCCACCGTTGTGCCAGGGTAGGGGGGCTGAGCCACGCTCGTGGGTGGCAAAGACACCCAGGTCTGTGTGATTGCGATACGAACTAACCAAGGCACCCCCAAATTCCCAAATGGGAAACGTTCAATACATCGTGGTATGTTCATTCTATGAAACCATCTGCAGCAGAAACTCATGCTCACATAAAATTATTTCTATCCATCCATCACCCAAATATCCATCCATCCGTCCATCTCTCTACCCATGCAAATGCTGGTGAGGGTTAAAATTCTAGGCTAGGCCACAGCATCCAGCTGCTCGGTCAAACATTATACTAGATGTTTCTGTGAAGGTATTTGTTTTTTTAAGATGAGGTTAACACTTAAACCAGTGGTCTCTGAATAAAGCAGATTACTCTCCATAACATGGGTGGACCCCATTCAATCAGCTAAAGGCCTTAATGAAGAAAGACCGACCTCCCCAGAAGAAGGGGGAGTTCAGAAAAGATACTGCCTTTGGGACTTGAGCTGTGACACTGGCTCTTCCCCAGGTCTCCAGCCTGCCTGCCTGGCCTGCAGATTTCACAACTTGTCAGCCTCCATAATCATGAAAGACCATTCCTTAAAATAAATCCTCATCTCTTTCTTTCTTTTCCAGAGTATACATCTTAATGGGCTATGTTTCTTTGGAGAACCCTGACTAGTACAATGCCTGTAAGATATAGATAGATTAGACAGGCCTTATGTTTACCAAATAATTAACAATAATTGTCTGGGGGAGGTACAATCTGTTTCAGCTTTTTCTAAAATTGAAGACGATACATCCAGAAAGCACTCAGGTCACAAGTTCATTTTCCCCAAGTGAATACACTTGAGTCATCACCATCTGAATGACAACACTTTTGAGTGTTTTATTTTTTACTTTCTTCTTTATGTATCTTTGTTCTCAGAATGGTTTGTCATGAGAACACATCATTTGAACAAAAACGATGAAGTCAAACAGAAACTCTTGAAATGTTTTTAAAGGAAAGACAGATCATACTTATGAAGACTCTGATGGCCACGGGAGAACCATCATATGAAACATGTAACCGGAAAAGAAGCTGTGTGTAGTGTATGCTATAATCTTGACTACATTTAAAAACCACCGAGGAAGAAAAGCCCAGATTTCACCATGGTCGTCTTTGAGTGGGGGGTGGAGGTGGGCAGCAGTGGTGTCAGATCTTGGCTGGTTTTCTTTCCTGCTTTATATTCATTTTATATTTTCTACAGTTCCTACGGTGAGGGTGTATGACTTTTATAATCAAACACATGTTCACACAAGACCTGACCTCTGTTGGTCTCAGAGAAATCTACCGACCCCACGGTCCTGGAGGGCTTGGGGACACTGGTGACTTGGCTGGGGGTGGGGTGGGGGTCTGCGAGGAAGGAGAGGTCCCCTGGGCAGAAAGGGGTTTGAGTACCCCCAAGCAAGCCTCCTGGTGGAGGCCCAGGACCAGGGGGCCCCTAGTCTGGGGGCCCCTCCAGCCCTGGAGAAACACTGGCACCCTTAGCTGACTCCAGGGCAATTCTGGTGTCCCCAGAGCAAGAGAGAGGCACCATCTCGGGACTTCCCTGGTGGTCCAGTGGTTAAGACTCCGCACTCCCAACGCAGGGGGCTGGGGTCTGATCCTTGGTCAGGGAACTAAGATCCCACGTGCTGCAACTTAGAGCTCACAAGCCAGAGATCACACAAGCTCAAAGATCCCATGTGCCACAGCTAAGACCTGGATAGCCAAGTAAATAGATACTTTTTTAAAAAAGAGAGAGAGCCACCGTCTCTGCCTCTGCCTTTTCTCCCTCTCTCATCCTCTTGACCTCTGCTTCCGACAGCCCACTCTGTGCTCCAGTATCATGCACTGCCCACAGCACCCAGTTCTACCGGGTCTCTGGGCCTTTGCATGTGACTTTGGCTGCCTCTTTTGTCTTTCATGACCCAGCTCAGGCATGCCTTCTCTTGGAAGCCTTTCCCACACCCTTCCTCAAGTCTGGGTTCTGACCCCTTCTTCTGCCTTCCTCTATCACCAAGGGCAGATACAAAGGTAGACAGTAAGTAGCTCTGACTTTGAAGGTTACAGGGTGTCTGTGTCAACGCATCAAGCCAGCAGTTGCATCAAGAAGGCAGCCGCGGACAACCCGTCCATGATGGCTGTGTGCCAATAAAACTCTGTTAACAAACACAACCCTTCCATGATGGCTGTGTGCCAATAAAACTTTATTAACAAACACAACCCTTCCATGATGGCTGTGTGCCAATAAAACTTTATTAACAAACACAACCCTTCCATGATAGCTGTGGGCCAATAAAACTTTATTAACACACACAGACGGTGGGCTGAATTTGACCTGTGGGCTATAGCTGGCCAACCCCTGCCCTATTATGGCTCTTGTATGACGATAACAGTATCAGGAACAAGTCCTAACTTTTATGTGTCAGCCATGCTCTCACCTCTCATCCTTCTCCATGCTGGAGGGCAGCACGCGACTGCCCAGCACCCCAGGCTGGAAGGAAGACTTGGGGTTCTTGGGCTGGGGGGCCCAGCCAGGGGCCTCGCTGGGACTGTCTGCCTCTGGCCTCTTGTGCAGCTGAGCCTGGAGAGAGAAGACAGGGGCGGAGTCTGTAAGTTGCCTTTGGCCTGGGGAAGGGCCCCATCCTGCCTGACCGTGGAGGCCAAGAAAAATCAGAGGCCAGGTTTATAATCCAAGAGGCCACCTGTGACCACTGGGATCAAACAACCATCAGAAATTCACACCATCACATTATCTTTGGCTGAAAGGCCACCATGAGTGGTGTCCTCATCACAGGCCCTTCCGTCTCCTCTAGTTTCCTGAGAACCCCATGATGGACACAAGAGTTCATCTTATGGCCAAGGACCAGCTCTTCTAAGTTCCTTGCTCCGGGTGAATGTGAATCAGTGGGGTTTCTGACTATCAGACTTGCAGGAGAAAAAGGCCATCATTTTTGAAGGACACGGAGGGGATGGGGCGGCTTGGAAGGGCGGGCCAGGGCTGTGATGGCGGCAGATGGCATCTGGCCCCAAGGGTAATGGTGGCACAGCCCCTGCCGCATGGTAGTCACCACCACCGCCCGCCTGGCAGCCTGTGCACTGGACTCCAGACTCTTCTAGGCTTAAGCTCCAGGACACGCGTTTCCGGTGTAGAGGCTGGCTTTCTGTATTTTATAGAGGAGTAGCCTAAAGGTCAAAGGTCAAAGGGTTTGCCCAAAGTCACAGGGTTTTCCAAAGTGGGATCTGCCTGAGGTCTGCCCAATGCCGACCCCGGGACTCATTTAAGAAAAAGCCCGGCAGCCTCCACAGGGCCTCTGCCCCCTCCTGTAAGCAGGGCCTGTCCCTGCCTCCAGCAAGGCCAGGAGGGAGAGAGGAGAGGAGGGGGGCGGCAGGTGAGAAACACGGGCCTGTCCTGCGGCCGCGCGCAGCTCTGGGGGTGAGGTCCCGCACCTTCAGTGCAGCCGGGTCCACGCCGGGAAACACAGGCATCCTCTGAGGTCTGCAGATAGGCGACCTCTCGGCCCTGGGCGTCCTCTCCTCCTCGTCTGACTCTTCCTTCCTCGGGGATTTCTCCTCTGTTGCAAAGGAAGGATACTGAAGTCAATGGCAGCCACCGTTCTGAGATTCTGGCTGTCTGTCTACAGAGCAAGTCCAACCCTTTAGCCAGGAATCACATGGTTCGCCATGAACTGGCCCTGCCTTTCCAGCAAGATTCCTGCTAGGCCCCGCTTGGGCAAGGCTGAACTGCTTAGAGAGACCCTCCTTGAGATTCCCCAGCCCCGCCACACCCACGGAACATTCTTTCCACATCTCTGACCCTTTGATCCCGTTGCTGTTTTCACCCAGAATACCTTTCCCTGGCTAATTCCTATCTGCTCTTTAAGATCCAGCTTACGTTTTGACAGGGAACACAGACAAGGAAGCCCTCAGAGGAAAACCTATAGCCGTGAATGATGGATCAGAAACCCCAAAAGACTGGTAACAAATGAACTGGTCTTTCAACTCGAGAATCTAGATGAAAAGGCCAACCAAGAAACCGGCAGAGAGGATAAGGGTGACTCGGATAATGATAAAAGCGGAAACAGTGAAAGCCTAAAGTTGTGTCTCAGTCCCTTGCAACCTATGGAGCCCCAATTAATAGAGAATCCGCAAAAAATTTTCCTACTTAGCTTCTAGCAAGCTCGGTGTAATGAGAAATCAGTTTCTGATGTTACTGTGCTCTGATGTCCTGCAGCCTTCAAAGTCAGAAAACTATTCCCAGAGTTTACCCCAACTCGTTCCTGCGAGCCAGTGCGCGGCCGCGGAGGAGGAGACGGGGCGGAGGAGGAGACGGAGGAGGAGACGGGCGTACCCGTGGAGTCCCGGAACATCCACGCGCTGTGGGGGTCCTCCTCCCAGGCGGACCCGCCGTCAGGCTCACTGGTGCGGCTGCGCCGGAGCGAGCGGGCGGTGGGAGCGCGGCGGCGGCTGCTCTTGCTGAGCTGCACCCGGGTCTTGAGGGCACTTGAGTCGAGCACTGAGGTTTGCTGTCGGAGCGGCGGGGAAGAAGGGGAAAAGATGAAGCTCCGGAGACATAAAGGGAGGGCACCGCCCCGGGAGGGTGCGTGGCTGCGCTGATATGCACAAGATGCCATCTAAGGGGGCACGCGCACCAGCATTTCCGCATTCTCCTAGGAACCTAAGGCCTCGAGCCGACGTTCCCTGCGAAGGATACCACGTAGGCTGATTCTAAGAAACAAATGAACCCGGAGTGCCCCACGCAGTGCCTGGCACATTGTGGGCACATAATGCAAACACCGTCCCCCCTCCTGGTGACACCATCCAAGCAGGTGAGCTGCAGCAGTACACTAACGGGAGCTCAATACACGTTTGTTTGTTTGTTTGTTGAATAAACAACTGAACACATCGCCTTAACTAAATCCTTACAGTGATCTTACTCCACACAGGGTCCACGAGCTGAGATTCTCAAGGTGGTCCTTCCTCTACCCACAGTAATTCAGGAGGCAGGGGGGAGCTGGTGGAGCAACCCATTCAGTACTAGGCATTTGTTTTCAAGCAGCACGCTCTGAGCAGAGGTTGGGGGAGGGTCAGTGATGGTTTCCAAGATCACCACCTTTCCTGCTGGAAGGGCTGGGCGGGGGCAGACCCCCAGGCTGAGCCCAGCAAGGAGGAGGTGGGGCAGCTGTGGCTCAGTGATCCCCCAGGAGACCACAGCGAAGAGATGGGAGCTTGGGGATCATATCCCGTTCACTTCAATTCCTAGCTGTGTCACCTCAAGCAGGGGACTTACCCTCTCTGAGCTGAGGTGTCCCTATTTGTAAAAGTGGAATGATACTAGTATCCCCTTCCTAGAGGGGCTGCAAGACTTCAGGAGTCCAGGCGTGGACAGCCCTGGCTCCAGCAGCATCTGAGCCAGGCTCAGGGCCGAGGGCTGCTCCTACCCGAGGCTTCTGTGTGCCCCACCGGCTCGGGTCCTGGTGTGAAATGTCTGATTCTTCCTCTCAGGTCCGCTTTGGAGAAATCCTGTCACCCAGGGCCTTTTAAGTTAGCAATGATGAGCTAATTTCAGTGACTCATTTCCCAGAACTGGTAAATGACAGACACCCCGGTGGGGGCGGCAAGAGGGTGCTGATGTCTGCAGAGCTGTTTCCCAAACCGGCCACGATGGTGTCCGGTGCGGGGCTGGTCGGGGGGTGGCGGTAGCTAGAGAGAGACGCAAGTCATAAAGGATCTGCCCTCCCTAAGAGGAGAGCATGCTGCTCCTGTGGTCACCGAACAGCCAGTTTCTGAGACTCAGAGGAAGTGGGAGGGAGCCACAGCGACACAGGCGCTGGCTTGAGGGGGACTTGGTTCCATTTCCCTGGGGCCCCCCTTGCAGCCTCAGACTGGTGCAGAACATCCTGAGTTGTAAAAAAAAAAAAAAGAGAAGAGACAGGACTGTTTCCAGCACTGCTCCCAACTACCAACTCACATCGATAAAGGAGAAGTCGTCCACCTTCTTTGCGGGGCAGGCGTCCGGCAGGGGCAGCCCCTCCATTCCGTCAGTAGACTCCAGGTCCGTGCTGGATCGGTCCACGCTGGTGCTCCGCTGGTCCCTGGAACAGTCGTGCTGGTCCCCGGCCGAGGTGACCTCCGTTTGGGAGGACAGCGAGGACAGGCGGCTGCTGGGGGGCTGCTTCCAAGCCGAGGTGGCACTGCTGTCGGGGGACGGGGACTCGGGGGCCAAGCTACGAGAATGGGAGGGAGGGCGGGAGGCATGGTCAGGCGAGACCTGGATGCCACAGAAGGCAGGATGTGGGGCATGCTTTGTATGCCAGGAAATAAGAGACAGACATCCCAGTGACAAGAACCGTCCTGGGCCCAGCCAGGTGCTGTCCATGGTGCCTCTAGAACACCTGGACAGGTGCGGAAGGGGAGGAGCCACTCCCCCATGCAAGGCCCTCTAACTCTGTGCTACCCAGTGGGGGAACCGTGGGTCACCTGTGGCCGCTGGGCCCTTGTGATGGGGCGAGTAAGGGCTGAGCTGGGCCAAGAGTACAGAGTACACACCAATTCCTAACACTTGGAGTGAAAAAGAAAGTAAAATGCCACAGTAATAACTTTACAGTGGTTACATGTTACAAGGACAGTATTTATAAAGTCTATTGGGTTCAGTGGGGCTTCCCAGGTGGCGCTAAGCCGCCTGCCAATGCAGGAGACATGAGAGACGTGGGTTTGATCCCTGGGTGGGAAAGATCCCTTGGGGAAGGGCACAGCAACCCACTCCAGTATTCCTGTCCAGAGAATCCCATGGACAGAGGAGCCTGGCGGACTGTGGTCTATAAGGCTGCACAGAATCAGACACGACTGAAGCGATTTAGCACACACACTGGGTATTGGGTTCAGTAGAATACACTGTCAAAATTAATTTCGTCAGGATTTTCCCTGGCAGTCCAGTGGTTAAGACTTCCCCTTCCAGTGCAAGGGGTGAGGGTTCGACCCTTGGTCAGGGAGCTAAGATCCTGCATTGCTGCATGGCCAAAAAAACCAACAACAGCAACACAGAAGTGATACTGTGACAAATTCAATCAAGACTTTAAAAAGTGGCCTTTAAAAAAAAGGAAAAAGAAAGACTTTTAAAAAAGGAAAAAAAATCTTAAAAAAATTAATTTTGCCTGTTTTCTTTTTACTGTCTTGATGTGGCTACTAGAACATTGCAGCTGCATGAATGTCTTGGGTGTGCAACTGGTGCTGCGTTTCTGTCGGGCAGGGCTGATGGCGGTCAAACCGTCACTGGCCATCACCCGTGGAGGAGCGGGAGGTGGGGCATATCCTGCATTGCTTCATCCATTCATTCATTCACTCACTCGACAAAGATTTACTGAGCGCCTGCCATGAGCCAGGCCCTGTGCTGAAAAGCTGTATCCTTTCATCCTCCCCACCATCCTACAAGATAGGAGTAACCTCATGAAATTAAATATTAACCTTGTGGAAGATGAGGAAACTGAGGCAGAAAGATGTGAAGAGGCTTGCCCAAAGGGGCAGGTCCAGAATCCAGGTCCACGACCCTCTCTCTCCTCCTGGAATTTCTGCCCATGATAATGTATTCCGAGTATCACTCGGATAATTGGAACCACAAAAGATAGAAGATTTATAAATAAATCAAGACATTACAATTAAATAGGCTCCCTGCTCCTCTCTTAAAAAGACCCCAAAGTCAAGAGCAGAGGAAAGCCTTATCCTAAGGCCGGGGGGACCGGCACAGCAGAGAACACGTCCCTGATCGGAGGGTCTGCCCCAAAAGACCCCCGAACTTCACCCTTGGGCAGAGCTGTCAACCCAGGTGCTCTGGCGCCTCACTCAGGGAGCACAGCCTGCTTTTTGTCAGCTCTGCGAGGATTTTGTTACTTGGAATAAGCAGGACGGTAGGGCGTGGGGTGGGATTGAGGCAGAGCCACCAAAAATGAGGGAAATACCAACGAGGGGCAGCAGGTGGCGCTGCTGCTCAGGCCTGGGAGTAAAGCCGCGCCTGGGCCCTTTCTGGGAGGAGGAGCTGCAGTACCTCCGAAAGACAGGAGGGGGCGGCCGATACCAGGACACGGGGCGGGGACCGGGGCAGGAGGAGATGCCAGTGGCCGGGTTTCCCCCTCTCCCTGTAAGAGCTGGGAGGATACAGGACCGGAGGAGAGGGGCCTCCCAGGGTCAGACAGTGACAGCAAAACCAGGAGCCAGGCTCCCAGACTCGCAGTCCCCTGCTCCTGCAGGAACATTCTAGTGAATTTTAAGTAAGCTCATTAACTAACCATATATCACAGCTTAGACAAGAAAACGAAACGCCCTTCATGGGTACTATTAGAAACCTGTGCTTCCCTTTTTCTTTTCCTGTGTGCTTAGTCGCTCAGTCGTGTCTGACTCTCTGCGACCCCACGGACTACAGCCGACCAGGCTCCTCTATCCTTGGGGATTCTCCAGGCAAGAATACTGGAGTGGGTTGCCATGCCCTCCTCCAGGGGATCTTCCCAACTCAGGGGTCGAACCCAGATCTCCTGCACTGCAGGAAGATTCTTTACTCTCTGAGCCACCAGGGAACCCCATGAATACTGGAGTGGGTAGCCTATCTCTTCTCCAGAACTTCCTGATGCAGGAATCCAACCAGGATCTCCTGTGTTGCAGGCAGATTCTTTACCAGCTGAGTTACCAGGGGAGCCCACCCATTTCTAATTTCACTCACCTCCCCCCAACTTGGGTACTGATGACAGCTATGGGATGTAAGTCAGAGGAGGGGTGTGGCCGCTCCTGGCTGGGGTCGGGGGCAGGGGAAGGAGCCGGGAGACCTGGGTCTGACTCCAGCTCAGCCATGGACACGCCATATCCCTGGGCACGACACCCACAGATGAGGAAACCGAGACACAGCAACAGCTGGAAAGCGGCCACACTGGGGCTGACCCAGATCTTCCCGGCTCTAGAACACCATGCGATCCTGCACCCCTCAGGTGGGAAAGATGAGCCGAGAACATGGCAAGCCCACCCTTGGTGTCCACAAAGCTGCTACTGTGTGTGATCCCACCCAAGGGCAAGAGGAGAAAAACTGCATTTTTAAAACAAAGAAAAGGTACGACGAACAAGTGGAATGTATCAAACTCCTACGACTAAGTGCCGGGAAAGACGCCAACTGTGAACACAAGTTACCCTCCTGTCCATCCCATGTCTCAGTCTTTGTCTCTGCAAGATGGGACTAGAATTAAATGTTATGCTTCAGAGTTTACAACAGGGCTGGGCCCATCCGCTTAATACATCTCAGCTGTTTTGTGAGCATCATTCCCTTTCTACAGGGCCTTCCCAGGTGGCTCAGTGGGTAAAGAATTCACCTGCAATGCAGGAGATGTAGGTTCGATCCCCAGATAGGGGTAGATCCCCTGGAAGAGGCCAAGGCAACCCACTCCAGTCCTAGAGAATCCCATGGACAGAGGAGCCTGGCTGGCTACAGTTTCATGGGGTCACACAGTCGGACACGACTGAGCGACTAAGCACGCACGCACGCGCCCTTTCTACAGAAGAGGAGTTCGTAAAATCTGGCAAATAAAACTAAATGATCCAGGACCCCACAGCCAGCCAGAATGGAGCTGGAATTAAGGCCTGCCTGCCTCCTGAATCCAGGTGATGTGTGGTAACCTTTAGGCTTCTGCACAGTCCTAACAACATTCCCTCCCAGCCAGGCTGACACCTGAGGGGCCCTCCACGGCACTAATAGTGATGATCCCAAATGCTGACATAGCTTATGAAGCAGTGTGTATAATATGCTTCTCTGTTTATAATCACACTATATATCTACATAGAAAAAGCCTAGAAAGACAACCAAAAACACTAATGACAGTGATACCTGTGTCCTGACATCAAAGTTGGTTTTCATTTTCTTTGCAATTTTTTTTGTATTGTGGTGAAACATGTAATGTGACATTTGCCAGTAGGGGCATTTAATGCATTCATAATGCTGTGGGCTTCCCTTGCAGCTCAGCTGGTAAAGAATCTGCCTGCAGTGCGGGAGACCTGGGTTCGATCCCTGGGTTGGGAAGATCCCCTAGAGAAAGGAAAGGCTACCCACCCCACTATTCTGGCCTGGAGAATTCCACGGACTGTATAGTCCATGGGGTTGCAAAGAGCTGGACACGACTGAGCAACTTTCACTTTCCTTCTTAATGCTGTGTGATCATCACCACTCTGGTTTAAGAACATCTTCATCCGCCCAGGAGGAAATCTGGTCCCCATCTGGCAGCCGCTCCCTGCCCCACCACCCCAACCCTGGCAACCAAAGTCTCCTCTGTCTCTATGGATTTGCCTATTCTGGATATTTCATATATCATTTTAAAGTCTTTTTTTTTGTACTTTCTAAACTTCTGTTTTATAAAAAGAATGGGTTGCTCTTATTACACAACAACCTATTACAGACAAAACAGGTTCTACTTAGTAACGGAGAAATCAGGAGGCATATGGGGGCCCTGACTCCCCCCAGAGGTCCTGCCCCACACTGCTTACCTCTCCCCGCTCTGGCGCTGGTCTGGCCACGTCCCATACTGACTGTCGGCTTCCTGCACGAGGGTGTCGGTGTCCTTGGCCTCGGGGGTCCGTCTGGAGAAACACTGCTTCAGCTGATCCTGCAAGGACAAGCCAGAGGGTTCTATCAGGGGCAAATGCTCAGAACCTGGTCTGGTTCATAAACCTGTTTATCAGCCCATCCAGCTGATAAATCATGCTGCATCGCCCCCTGCTCAAACCCACCTGGCTCCCTACTCTGCTCTCTGAGACGGGTCCAAATGTCTGCACTGAGAATAGAGTGACAGATGCCCGGGTCTGCCCAAGGCATCATAGGAGGCGAGACTGCTAGAGCCGAAGCCAGGCAAACTGGGGTGAAGGGGTCACTCTCCCAGGTCCTATGTGGGTACCACCCTGCCCCTGGCCACACTTCTGTCCATCTCCAGTGCTCCCAGGACTTATCAGTCTGGTTAGGGCTAAGATGCCGCGCTCCTGGTGCAGGGGGCCTGGGTTTGATCCTTGGTCAGGGAATTAGATCCTGAATACCACAACCAAGTGTTTGCACGCCACAACTAAAGATCCTGCATGCTGTAACTAAGACCCAGGGCAGCTAAACAAACAAACAAACAAAACCCCAAGAGATGGGGATCTCTGAGTGCTGAGTAAGGGAGGAAGGGCCCCTGGAAATCAGAACGGCAAGACTCCAAGGCTGCTGAGGGTGGAATCAGGGCAGGAGGCAGGGGAACGCTTCCTGACCTCCTTTGGAAGGCTCTGGGTGGCAGAGTGGGGGTGGAGGAGTATATGGTGCTCAGCAAAAAACATATTGGCTTCTGTGTGTCCCCATTTGTGGGCTTTCCTGCAGAGATTTAAGATTCACGCTCAGGGATGTGAAGTCCCTGAAGGCAGGGAGGGAGGTCTGCTCCCCACACTGCTAAAGCCAGACTGGGGATTCTGGGAGGCAGCATCCCCAACTCCCCCGCCACTCTCACACCCATGTTGGGTCAACCTTCGAGCCCTTCAAAGTCTCCCTCGGGAACATTCCGTCCAACCCTGGCCAGCTCTGGGGCTCCCCTGCCTCCTTCACCTCTGGTCCCCTCCCAGACATTCTTTTCCCGTAACAATTTCCAAAGCTGAACTCGAAGCCTGCAGGGTCCTTGCTCAAAACCCTTCAGTAGCTCCCCAGAGTCAAGTCCAAACACTGGAAGGATGGCCTGTGGGACCTTCCCTGGTGGGGCTCTTTCTCCACTGTGCCCTGTCCCTCTCCCACCCCCAGAGCTTCCCGCCCCCTCTTACTGGCTGCTCCAGCCCTCCCTCACCTCGGGACCTGCTGGAGCAGCCACCACCTCTTGGCTCTCATTCAGACTGCAGCTTCAGCTTCACTGGCTCTTCCTCCAGGAAGTCTTCCTTGAACTCCCCCTCTCCCAAGGCTGGCTCAGGATTCCCCCAGCTCCCATTCCCTAGACTGCAGGTCTCTACACCTATGTTGTCCAACACCATAGCCACACATGGCTATTTACATTAATTAAAATTTGAAAAATACAAAAAATCCAGTTTTTCAGCGGCTCTAACAACATTTCAAGGGCTCCGTGGCCACATGTGGCTACCAGATTGCACAGCAGGGACAGAGTACACGTCCGTCACAGCAGAAAGTTTCCAGTGAAGAGCACTGCTGCAGAACGTCCCACAATACATTCATTGTGATTGACCTGTTTCTTTTCATTCTCCCGTGGACAAGTACTATTTCTGGAGCCAGGATGCCTGGATTTGAAGCCAGGTTCCATGGCATGGTGGCTGTGTGACCTTGGGCAAGGTACTTAACCTCTCTGGGCCTAGTGTCTGGACAAAGCAGATGTTAAGTATTTGGTTGAATGCCATCTCGTTCATGACGTCTTAACACCGAACCCTCAAATCTAGAGTACTCCAGGGGTTAGGATCATCTAAGGGAGTTCATCTTGTCAATGAGACTTAAGCAAGCAGGCTGTTTGTCAGCACTTCCTTCCATTAGCCTGCTGCTCACCATGTGCACATTATCCACGTCTCATTGTGGCAGACCCTGGCGGTCCTTCACGGCAGCAAGGCTTGATCTTCACTCTCGGGGCCACGAGGCCTCAACAAGACCACAGAAAGGGTCCAAAACTCTCTAGAACTTGCTGAAAGTCAGGTTTTTACAATTAGCTTTAAGGCAGTGTTTTTCCAAACCAGCTTTGCCTCACAGGCTGCCATAAAAACCCCCCACTGCCTGCAGGGGAGCACGTATCTACAAGGCGGTCTGAAAACACACGATGGCCAAAAGGAACAGCTGTCTGAGGAACACACAGGTCCCAATTAGCACCCCCACATCTGGCGTGTACCCCCCGATGGAGAGCAGACAGCCACAATCCAAATCTTAGCTGCCATGTGCCACATGAGGTCATCGCATCTTAACATCTTACGTCTCCGAGGACCCCTCTGAGTCCATTTGGTTGGCCTTTTCAGATGACAAACTTTTTCAGATCATAAAGTCAGAGGCACGGACGGGTTGCTCGCAGTGAGTCTGGAACCCAGGTTTGGGCTTCTTCCACAGACACCCCACCCCTAACCTTTTCCAGGATACTTCAAGAGGCTCAGGTGAGGAAATGCATGTTAAAATGCTCTTAAGAAGGCGAACTTGGCGAGACTTAAAACGAGAACTTGGTGGATTTAAAAACCCCCCACTTGGGGATTCCCCTGGTGGCCCAGTGGTGAAGATTCCGCACCTTCCACTGCAGGGGGTGCGGGTTTGATCCCTAATCAGGGAACTGAAATCCCACATGTGGTGTGGCATGGCAAAATAATAATAATAATAATAATAATAAATTAATTGATAAAAATCACTTGCTTGGACTAGGTCATCAAGCCCCCAGGCTGGTGGTGGGTGGACATTCTGGGCCCTTATCTTACAGACAAACGCGACTGCCTTAGCCCAGGACAGATGAAGGAGAGTTTTCTAACAGACGCCTTTGAGGGCTGTGTTTAAACAAGCGGTAACACATGTCCTGAAATTTAAAACGTGTACACCCTTGACTCAGCCAGTTTAGTTCCAGAAATTTATCTCAAGAGAATCATCAGACACGCTCGCCAAGATCCGTGAACATGGATGCTTCCCCACGGGAGCGCAAAGATTGCAAAATGTTGCAAATACTGGAATCGCCCGAAACACCCAACAAGACAGGGATCAGTGAAGTATCAGCTCAGCTCAGTCGCCCAGTCATGTCTGACTCTCTGCGACCCCATGGACTGCAGCACGCCAGGCTTCCCTGTCCATCACCAACTCCCAGAGCTTGCTCAGACTCTTGTCCATCGAGCTGGTGATGCCATCCAACCATCTCATCCTCTGTCGTCCCCTTCTCCTCCCGCCTTCAATCTTTCCCAGCATCAGGGTCTTTTCCAATGAGTTTCCACTTTGCATCAGGTGGCCAAAATATTGGAGCTTCAGCTTCAACATCAGTCCTTCCAATGAATATTCAGGATTGACTGGNAGCAAACTCCTCCTATCAAGGGCCAGATAATATTTTGGGCTTTGTGGGCCATGGGGTCCCTGTCTCAGCTTCAGCTTTGCTGTCGTTACCATGTCAGCAGCGCAGATGATGTCTGTGTTCCAGTAAAACTTTATTTACAAAACAGGGGGCTGGGGACTTCTCCGGTGGTCTAGTGGCTAACACTGCAAGCTCCCAACGCAGGGGGCCAGGTTCCCATCTCTGGTCCAGGAACTAGATCCCACACGCCGCAACTAAGACCTGGCACAGCCAAATAGATAATATACAGGTGGCTGGCTGCTTGGCCCACGGGTGGCTGGCTCCTCCCTGACGCCCTGTAGACTGTCAGCTGCACGAAAACGGGTTCTCTTTCACCCACTACTGCACCCAGTGCTTAGAACCACACCAGGCCTGGAGTACTTAAATAAATATTTGCTGGAAGAATATGCTTCTGAAAATAACTTTTTTTTTTGCACGGAACAGGTGTGAGCTCCTTAAGTAGAAAAGGCCATGTCGTTAGGGAGGGGGTGACAGTAAGAGAAAACATGACCCCTGCAAGTATTCCGGGGTGTCTGACACATCCGTCTAGGAAAGGAACCTGAGTCAGGGCGGCGCCGGGTGGCCTGAGGCTGACGGGGCAATTCTGAGCAATTCAAGACGCACCCCCCGCCCCCCTCTGCAACTGGACACCGTCAGCCGTGCAGGGGGCCCCGGGGTCACGGGGCCCAGGCTGTCGAGGGTGACACTGGCCGTCCCAGTGCCCCCGGGGCCTGGTGGCATCTCCCTGCCTCGTGCCCGGATCAGACTTGCACAACGGCTGAGCGGTAACAGTAACAACATCAAGGGCTGACACCACGGTGAGCACTGCTGAACATCCTGGCCTTTCACTCTGAACAGGAAGCCTGAGGACTCACGGGCACTATCATGGGCCCATTTTACAGGGGAGGAGACTGAGGCCCAGAGAGGGGCCCTGACACACCCAAGGTCACACAGAAGGTGGGTGGAGCTGGGATTCGGGTTTGCCTGACACTCAGGCCCTAAAGTGCTCCCCCAAAACTGCTGCATTCTCCCAGCTCTGGCTCGACATGGAGAGCTCCGTAGGGCCTTCAGTGATCATTTCACAGATGGGAAAACCGAGGGCCAGGGAGAGGAAAGGATGCCAGGCCAGGCCTCGAATCCAGGTGTCCTGAGTCCCTGGCCTGTGCCTGGTCACCACAGGGCAGTCCTAGCTGCACCCAGGTGGGGCCTCAGGCCCAGGGGAGAAGGAGGGGGGCGGCAGGCTGAGGTTGGGCCGAGTCCCCCAGGGGGTCTCCCATCTACCTGGACCCCCCACTCCAGGCTCTTATCTTTGTTTGTTTTGTCTCGCCATGAGGCATGTGGGATCTCAGCCCCCTGACCAAGGATCGCACCTGTACCCTCTGCACTGGAAGCACAGAGTCTTAACCACTGGACCAGCAGGGAAGCCGCCCAGACTCTTAAAAGCCCGTCTGCCCCACTGTGGCCTGCGGGGCCCGGGGGGCCACCCCCTCACCCCTCCTTTGTGCTGCCCCCACACCTGGGCACCGTCACAGCCCAGGCCTGTTGCCCAGCTGCTCGCCTGGAACACAGAAGGTGGGTGGAGCTGGGAT